TTTTTAATTATTAATCATGTCTTAACACATAATTAGGATTCACTACTAATTAATTACATTTATTTTTTACGTTTTTTTTTTTTAGGAATGGGACATTTGATGATGATAATATAAAAGATATAGAAGATGTGCCAACTAATGATGCTTATCGTATGGGAATGAAAAATTTATTGAGATGGATAAATAAAAATATGGATCCAAAAAGAAATAGGGTCCTTTTTACAAGCATGTCACCTTCTCATGCATGGTAAGTTTGTATACTAATAGACAATTGTAATATTGTGTAAAAATAAATTTAAGTCAGACTCTAATATGAATATCGATATCGAATGGTAAACTAAAGAACCAAAGAAATTATAGTTTGACAAGAGTTGGGTGGATTGAGTTATGATCCATGAAGCCCATCTTGACACAACTCATTTCAGCCTAACTTGCGGACGGATTAGTGATTTGTCTATTTATTAACTTAACTTATTTTGATTTGCTTAAATTCAATCCAACTCATCCATCTGATATCCCTAGTCGAGTCTCATAGTGTGCAAAAATAAACATAGATAGAGTTAGAAATATCCATTCTCACAACTCATAATTCAGAATTTTAAGTTCATAAAGTCTTGATAACAATTTCTTTTACTTACTATATTCTAGACAGATTATTTCTACATATCAAGTGAATTTCTTAACACAAACACAAAATTTGAACCAGAGCAACTCATATTTACTGAATTGACAATTTAACTATAACCCGTCCCTGATTAGAACTCACCACGTCTAAATTCTGAATCTGTAAATATTACTAACAATTTATTTTTTGGCTTGTTATTAGGAGCAAAGAGTGGGGAGGAGATCCAAATGGAAATTGTTACAATGAGACAAAAATGATAGAGGATCCAAGTTATTGGGGATCAGATAAGTAGAAAAAGCATAATGCAAGTGATTAAAGAAGAATTTAACAAATCAAAAGTGCCAATTACATTTCTCAACATAACTCAATTGTCAATGCCAAGAAGAGATGCACATACATCAATTTACAAAGAAAGATGGGGACCTTTAAGTCCACAAGAAAAAGCAAATCCTTCAAGTTATGCTGATTGTATACATTGGTGTTTGCCTGGACTTCAAGATGTTTGGAATGAGCTTTTATATGCTAAACTTTTCTATCCTTAATATATATATATATATATATATATATATCATTTATATTTCGCAAGAACTTGTTCCGATGACTCTATGTAATTTCTTTTTGTGATTAATTTCTAGTTAAGGAGGTCCAAATTTTTGAATTAATGTTATTCAAACTATAAATATATGATTTCATTTTGCTACTCCTGGTCGTTGAGTCTGATTGACTCGACTCATGACAAGTGTAGTCTTACTTGGTCAATTGGAAATTGTAGAATTGTAGTGGCTTTCGAAATTCCAAAATGGCCTAAAAAGTGATCAGAAAGTGAAGTCCTTCCTTTCGATCTAAGCCGGGAAGCCGCCTTTATATCTAACCATCGTTCACCTTGATGTCGACTCATCACATCTTGGAGTTGAAGAAGGTCTGAAGGGTTAATTAGATTGGTAAAAACATTTTTCTTGCCTGGAGAATAGAGTCAGAGACATCTTTAATCTGAAGAGAAGGCTTTGTCGGTAGTGAATTTTGATAGAGGTGATGCAGTTGATGTTTTGATCTCCTTATAAATCTTAAGTTACATGAAAAAATATATTTTAAAATATATCAATATAATGAAAAAATATATTTTAAAATATTAGTTAAAATTAATATCATTTGATTATTTAAAAAAGTTGTGACAAGTGTAATTACTTAGCTTTAGTTTCAGTTAACATCACTACAACATATTAGGCTTTAACCACTTGAAAAATGTATCCTTAACTACTACTTAGAAAACATTGTTGTTGGGTAATTTTGGGTACATTTCTAAACGTGGTCCAAAATTATTTTTTGTGAGTTGTGACGTTTGACCAAATTTACTATAGTGCATATCAAATTTAATTTGTTAGAAAGAGTTATTTATTGTTGTAGCTTTACTAAGACTACCAAGTACGACAGATTAATCATAAAATCTTATTATTTTAGAGAGAATATTGAAAATACTTTTGAATTTGACAAAAAGTATTAATTTTATCCTCGATCTATTGATAGTCTTAAAAACATCCCTCTAATTGACTAAACTAAGCTTAGATACAGCTTCGATCTGCCACATGACATAACAAGTGGTTTCAAACTCTTGTAGGAGCATGATGCTCTTGATAAAAAATCGAGAGAAGTGTTGAAAACACCTCTAAATTTGACGGAAATTTAGGGGTGTATTTCACTTATATATGTTGCAAGATTGGAGATGTATTTAAGTTCAGCTACTCAAGTAAAAAGATTTTTTTAGGGATAGCTCAGAAATGAAACAAATAATTTATACTCAATTTGGGGGTGTTTTCAATATTTCGGTATAATATATGAATGATGGCATCAATGACATAAAATGCAAAACTCTATATAGGAACTTTATCTTTTTTAATTAATTAGTCCAAATGATGGAATCAATGACATAAAAAGTGCTTCATAAAAATCTCAACTATTTGACTAATACTAATGGTAATTATTTATTCCAACTTGAGCTACTGTCCGGCAATATATAGCATCTTTCATGAATATTTGATTAGAGATATTAAAGGTGAAACAAATTAATCACCAATTTAATTAATCGATTAACCAAATGTTTAGAGGTTTTTAAATGAACAAAATGTCAGAATTTGTTTGGACATGTTGAAATTTGAAAATATAATAATTAAAGTTGAAGTTAAAAAATAATAGTATGTGAAAGTCGAAGTAATATTTGGACACATATTTCACTTTAATAAAAATGATTGTGCCTAAAAAAAAACTTATCTTCAAAAACTAACCAGAAAATCATTTCAATATATAATCATATGATAAAATAAGAAAAATATTTTTTGGAAAAAAAAAAATAATCTACGTACAATTCAATTAAAAGATGACAAGTACCTTTTTCACCACAATATATTACATTTGGATCTATTGGTAAATCGCCTTATTAAATAATATATTTGGTGTAAATTTATAAATAGGGTTTGAGAATGATAAGATGTGTGCAGATCTTACTCTACTTTAATAGGATAGAATAATTGTTTCTGATAGACCATCGATTAAAAAAAAAAACTTTTGAGCAAAATTGCAGAAAACTATGATTATAATAAGATAGCAAAATGCAAAACGGATAAAGTAACAGAGATATATGAATATCTAGAGGCAAATAATTAATTACAATTATAATATTAAGATAAAATGAAATTACAATTATATCTAGAGGCTTTTTATTGACTAATACTAGTAGGCAAACAAATTGAAATTCAATAAAAGCCTCCTTGCCCACTTGGTAACCAACTTGGAAAATATATTTTCTTTCTTTTGCCGATCACAACATTTAATATAATATTTATGCGGGAAATTTAAAACAAAGGAGAGGCAAGAAATCCCATAAAAGATTTATCAAAAAATAAAAATACAACTTGCCTTTGGTTTAATTGCAAGTTGGTACTTTACTGTTTTGCAGCTTTTGATTCTTCTATCACGATTTGGATGAGTTGAATTTGGACGAATCAGGATAAAATTAGTGAATTAATAGATGATATGAATACATTATATTTTTGTAGACTAATTTTATCATCTCTTGCAGATATAATGAGATTTTGAACAAACAAGTGAATCTAATTATCTGAAAAAAATAAGGTAGATAATAGTTATAACAGAATAAATTAGATTAATTATACTATATTTTTTTATATTATAAACTAAATCCAGGAATTAGTTGTTGGGTACCCGTCTCATGACCAGCAGGTTCAGTGTCCAAAGATTAACAATTTATTTTATTTAAAAAAAAATGCAATTAGTAGTATGGATAAATTATATTCAATGCCAATTTGTGAAGTTCACAACTGGTAAACCCTTTAAAAAAATTAGACTATATGGAAATTAAAAATTAATATCTGTGCACTGTGTTCATTAAGTAAAAGCAGCGACTAAATCAGGTGCACAAGAGGTTTATCTGAATGTTTATTATAAAAAAAATGTATATTTTATATATAAAGACAAATTATTTATATATATATATATATATATATATTTTATTTTTATTTTTTTTTTATTTTTTTATTTTTTATTTTTATTTTTTTTAATTTCGATAGTGAAATTCTAATTTTATTATTTGTCGGATAGAAAATCTGCATACCTAATAGTTCAGATATAAAACTCAATTTTTTTTATTTTTTTTTGAATAAACCAAGGATAACCCGCAGCCGCTACAACCTCTGCCACAGCCTCTGCCCTTCGGGTGAGCACTTTGTGCGCACTGGGTAAACCCCCCACTGTGTAATAGCCTGTAAATCACACAGGGGATGTAAACCACACTAGGCATGCCCTATGCGACAGGCTCGACTCAGAAGGCATTGAGGGGGGAATCGATCCCGGGTCATCCGTGTGGATAACCACCCTCCAAACCAACTGAGTCATCGGGTCATCCGACACTTAAAGTATATTTTTAACCTTTCACTCTTTAAGATAGATAGTATTATTTCAGTCTGCAATATGTGCTGATCATGAAATGCATGTAATATTGCAGCTTCTCTAATTAACCAATTCAGAACAAAGAAGGAAGACTTAGAAGAATTTATCTGATGGTGACTTAAGGATACTATACAAAATACATATCACTATTAATACGGTGGAATGAATAAAATTACTTCGTTATTAAGAAAATTTTGATACGACAAAACTTATGTGGACTAATACGAAAAGTTTAATTCAATCTCAAAAAATAATTCAAAAAGTATGTATTACCAAAATTATATAAGAAAGCACATTGCTCCTCGTACCAATGTGAAAGACTTATAATACATGCAATCTGAATCAATCAGGTAAATAATAACTCTGAATACACTGTAAAGTCATTATATAACAATGTACAAACAACACAACTACGTACTAATAGCTATTCCATATTGAAACAATTCCAAGAATAACCAACTTTAATTACACTCTCCAAAATTTCTCAACTTTTCACTTCTCAGTCTTCATGAAGAAAAAAAAAACCAAAAAATAAAATAAAATAGATCATGAAATGTACAATGATTTAATCAGTAAACAATTAATATCGATTTAGCTAATTACTCTTACAACAACAGCAATATTATCCAGAGTAATTACACATAACGCAACGTTATTATAGAAAGGTTATTTTCGATAGACCGTCAAATACTCTTAGCTTTTTCCAAGTTCTCCGCTATTTTACCTAACGATTGCAAATTGCACCGTACAATTGTATCAACGAATACACGTGTTTCCTCTTTCGTATTCCCTTGCGGAACATCCACAACGTATGATTCCACCACCACCGTCCTATCGCCGTCGCCGCCGTCATCCGCCGCCGTCCGATGAAGCGTCGTCACGGATCTATAATTATTCAGCCGGTGATCGCCGCCGACTATACTAATGCTCATCACTTTTTTCTCGTCATCTAGAATTTCGAGCCTCTCAATGCTCGAAGCCGCCGGAAGGCCGGTGATGACGTGGACCTCCCTGAGAGAACCGACGACTTTTCCGTCGCCGACGATGACGTGGCAGCTCTTGAGGAAGTTTTTATAGGCTTGCGGATTGTCGAAGCGGCGGATTATCGACCATACGGTGTCGATAGAGGCGGAGATTGATCGGACTACGGCGGAGCAGCACTGGTTGTTGTTGGGACCCACGGGGTGGGTGTGGTAATGGAAGTGGTTATCGGGGACGGAGACATTGTTGGTCGTCGTCATGGGGAAGTTTCCGGCGAGTGTGGCGGCGTTATGGTGGTTGATTCGGCGGAGTTGGAGTGTAGAAGTCATCTCTATTTTGTTTTTGTTTGATAAGAGAGATTAAGAGAGATGAGAATGGAGTGTGATATATATATACACAAAATGTGTACACACATATTATTCTGATTTTTTTTTATACATAATCTAGATAAATATTAAAATAAGAGGGGTGTGGTGTGGTGTGGTGGGATGGGAGGCTAAGTGAAGGTGAAAATGAGGTATGTTGAGATGGGAGAGGACACACTAATGTAAAATGTCACTCAGTAAAACTTTGTATTCCCTACTTTCATTTTTAAAAAAAAGTCATTTTCTTTATTTTTAAAATATTTTTTGACCGATCAAACATGAGAAAATTTTAAAAATACTATTTGAATGGTAAACACCTTTCACTTTCAATTCGAAAATTGCGAATTCGAGTCACCAAGGGAACAAAAAGGGGTGGGAGCTCTAGGGAGGAAAAAAAAATACATACAAAATACAAAAAAAAGAAGAAGCTCATTTATTGTTTTAGAAAATATTTTCATATCAAACACATCTCTGATTTGTGTTTTCACCTAACTATTTATGAAACCAATCCAACCTATCTATTTGTGTTAATTTTATCTAAATTATCTTTAATCAATTCATATCCGATCTGATTCGACATGTTTATTTGTAATTTATAATTATATTTAATTTTTTATCCACTTATTTATCACTCCTAGTTGTTGTGTACATGTTGGGTTAGATATAAATCTTGGGAGAGAATATCAACTTTTTGAAGACAAAATTATAGCAATTTGAGTTGGTGTTTTAGCTAATTGCTTACGTTAGGTGCCATGCAAGTTGATCATCAACTTGCTAAAAGCTTAATTATTTGGACCGAGTCTGAATAAAATACCCTTTCACTTTACTATAATTACGTTATCTGCCACTGCCCGTCAAAATCATTATCCGAGGTTTTTTCAACTTTTTACAAATGTCTTTATCGATTGACAAAAATAGCCCTGCAACTACTCCCCCTAAGAATATATTTACTTCCTGCGTTTCACCGTCTTAATTTATGTGATACTTTTTTCGTAGACAAAATATAAATAGGTGTTTGGGCATTTAATTTAAAATTCTGATCAATATTTAGATATATAATTTGGGATCATGACTTCAAATTTTCAAATTTGACAAAATTGTGATTCCAAACTTTTAAAATATAAAATTTGATTCATAAATTTATTTTGAAAAATAAGATTCATCATTTTAAATATTGTAAAAAATAAAATAAAGTTCATATTTGGCATGAAAAGATTGTGTTACACCAAGGTGAAAGAATTATAGTATTAAAGAATAGCTATTAATTGTTATTGTTGATCAGTCGATCTTTATAAAATTATGTGCATATTTGAACATTTGTAATCACTGGTATTTATTTTCGAAAGGAACATAAAGACATGTAGTTTATCACTACATCGTCTTAGAATATTCTAATATCTTGTTTATGAATTATGATTTGTTCATTTGATAAGATTATATAACAATTGAGAAAATTTTGATAGTTTTCATGACAACTTATAGAATTTTCATTTTCATGGTTATTAGAAAAAATATAACATAATAATTCTTAATTACATACCCAAACAACAAAATTTCAAGTTCAAATTAATTTGATTTCAAATCATTTTCAAATGAGGTCGATTTTTTTTTTTATTAGAAAAGCTTTTTTTTTAATAATAAAAATTAAATATCGTAAATTTAATTTAATCGAAAATCAATACGAATATAAACCTAATAATGTGGCAGCCCCAACCACTTTTCTCAACTTGATCCCTCTTTTTTTTTCCATGCAATTCACATGGGTCTAAGAGATTCATCTACTTCCATAATGTCTTGTCTACTATAATATGCAACTTGCCAAGTTATTTGTAATATCAATTGTAATATTACTCTACTAATTATTCTCTTTGGTTCTCATAGTAAAGATTATAAATTAAAGACCATTTAGAATAACGTGCTACCAACGTCTTTTCACATTATATCATTCATCACATAAAAAAAAAGAAGGTGTGAGAGGAATAATATATATTTTTAGTTTCAATTTATTTAATTTATTTTGCGTTAATACGAAGTTTAAGTATGTAAAAAAAGACTTCAGAATCTTTTAGTTTTAAATTAAAGATAAGTCAAATATTCTAAAATATCTTTTAATCATGTGGTTTAAAATATATCATGTGAAATATTAAAATTAAAAAGTTGCTAAAAAAAGTAACATTATTTTTCAAAATGACTAAAATAGAAAAGTAGGAAAAACAAATTGAAGTGAAGGGAGTATCATTTTAAAAAAATCTCTCTTTCCTCTTTTAATAATTATTTAATTCTAACTTTCTTCATGACATACTTAAAATCATAATATTAAACATGTTTTTGTACATTCTATGTATCTTTAATTTACCACCATAAATTTAAAATCTTCTTTACTTTCTTAAATATTATATCAAGTCAAAACCAAACAAACAAATTCAAATGTAAGAAATGTGACATACAAGTAAGGGGTCATTCGGTTTAAGGTCAAGTTATGTGTTGAAATTACTTATATTGGGATTAGGTATTTTGGTTTTATTTCTTATTGAAAAATGATTTAATAGAAGTAGAGGTACTTTTTTAATGATCATTTTCATTATTTTATTCAAAATAATTAGTCTCAATATTATTATTTTACAATTTGAAATATATACCGTTCTGATCTGAACGTTTAAATTATACCAGAATTAATAACTAAACAAGAAGTATAAGACAAATACTCTTCCAACATACCAAACATTCCCTTGTTAGATGTCAATCCAATTCAAAGGTAGATGGATTATGTAATCAATTGCTTAAACTAAACACAATATTTTTTCAACTTGAGGATTGTCTTTTTTGAAGATAACGTTTTAGATATTTTTTTTTTTTTGAGATTATCAACTTATTTTATTTTATTTTATTTTTTGTTCTTTTTTTGTGTGTGTTTATTTCATAGTTAGGGGTTGGAAGGGGGGGGGGTGGGGATCCTGCAGTAATTTTTTTGGTGTTAAAATTAAAGAAATTATTCATTTACCAACAAGTTGCAATTTAATTTGTATACAAACAAATAATGATGATAAAGTTCATGCAATTTGGGGACAAAAAGTCCATGCTACAACTTTGTATATGGACATATTTTTCTTGAAGTTAATAGCAATTGGATTTTTTTTTTTTTAAAAATAGCAATTGGAATTAATGATCTTATAAATATATAACAAGTTGAGTTCACTGTAGATTTTAAGTATCAAGAAATTCCTTCTAGATGATTTTTTAAATGAATAATTGACAAAAGAAAAGTAGTACTACTAATTAATTAAAAGTTGAGCTTTCGAGGTAACTTTAATGGATAATTTATTGGCTAAATATATATATATTTGGTTATAAAATTTTCAAATGTGAATTTGAATTTCAAATTTTAAAAGTGCTCCAAATTTATTTTTCAAATATTCCAACTTCATTTTCATGAATTCCAATAAAGTTCTTTTTAGGTTTTAATTTGTTTATTTTATTTTTGTTTTTAGTAATTTTTTAATTTCAGTTTCTAACTTAACACGTTGATAACGACAAAATCAAAGATCATTTTAGTACATTTGACATATCTTTAATTTAAGACCATAAAATTAAAAATTCTTCATTAATTTCTTAAATTCCGTGTCAAGTCAAAATAAGACAAAGAAATTAAATCAGAAAAAATATTTTTTCTCTTCTTTATAAAAAATATCACCAAATACAATTCAATTTTGAACCCCAACTTCATCAATTCAAATAATTTTTTTAAAATTTAAAATCCATTGTCAAACGGGAACTAAAAAAAGGAATAGAGCAATTACCATGTCAATGTGATGATTAATGAGAGTGCAAGTTGCTTAATTAATTAAGTACAATGGATTCGTTCTTCCATCATGTACAACCACTTTGATTTTTTTGATTCATGGGAAACTTCTCTATAAAAAAGAAAGAATATAGGAACCAGAAAAAAAATAATTCAAAGTTAAAATGTGACCTTTATGTCAGCCAATTAATTAATCACTTTATTTTCTCTGTCAATTTAATTATTTAATATTCAAAATTCATTAATTTAAAATCGCATCATGTAAGAGCCAATAAAGAAAAAGCAGACTCATTATCTTGAATTTATATTTTCTACTAGTCGGTGAAAGGAGTAATTTCACAAATGAACACTCAATTTTACTTATTATATCGAAAGATACTATCTTATTTTTCGTAACAGAAAATTGCTCAATTTTACCTAACTAAATATCACTAAAAGCCACTTAACCCACCTCCCACCCCCAAAAAAAAATACTAAATTTTACTTAAGCTTCATTGAAACTAGAAAGACCTTAAATAATTTTTTTAATAATGTAAAACAACTTTGTCAAAATATTCTTAAAATATTATCTCCATTTCTTTCTTTCTTATATTGACTTTTTTGGGATGATGAAATCAACAATGTGAGCTCCCAAACTCCGTTAATGGAGAACTCATTGGTTCGAGAGAGAACAATCGAGAGAGAAGATTCATGGAGAAAAATATCTTTTTATTGAATGTGAATTAAAGCAGCAAGTATTACAATGTGGAGCTATATATACAAAATCACTAATCAACAAACTTGATTCTAACTGAATTTCTAACTAACTTTACTGTTCACAACTAACTAACTAATTTTACTGTTCATCAACTAACTAACTAATTTCATACTTTATATTCTCAACCCCCCCCCCCCCTCAAGTTGGAGGTGATGAAATTACAGACAACTTGCGTAATAAAGTAGTGTGTTTAACCCCAGTTAGGGCCTTGGTGAAGACGTCTGCCAACTGGGATTCTGTAGGGATGTGGTGAAGTGAAATCAGACCTTCTTGAAGTTTATCTCGGACAAAATGGCAGTCTATTTCTATATGTTTAGTCCTTTCATGGAAGACTGGATTCTTGGCAATATGCACCGCTGCTTGACTATCACAGAAAACTTGTATGAGCAAATGACACTATACTGATAATTCATCCAGCAACCTCTCAAGCCAGACTAATTCCC